TATAAATAATATAATAATAATAAATTTGATCACTTTTCATGAGGAAAGTCATGAAAATGACCAGATCTGAGTATACATACGAACAATAATAAATAATTCAATAAAACTTCGTCTTGTTTTATGTAATCAAAATAAACTTTTTGTGTGATACAGCTTTCTATTAGCACCAAGTCGACTTTTGATTATTTCAAAATATCAAACAATGAGTAATGTCAATATGTTGTTTTCTGAGAAGCACTTATACTCATTGTTAGTTAAATTATTTCAATGTTGCAAATATATAGAAACGTTTAACGTATTTTAATGCCAAAGAATTTTATATCTACAATTTTTACAGAAATAGCAGCAGTTTTCAAAATGTTCAGCATGATAATGATTGCACTCTAAACAAAATGAATGAATAAATTATATCGGCACTCATACTTGAAGGGTGCCAGAGCGGGTTTAAAAAAAAACGCAATAAATGACTATCCATCGATTGCAGTTGCAAATTTGCTCCCATCTAATCATAATTTACTATCAGCCATATATTAACAAAACTTCCAATAAAAATGACTTTAACAGTACTTGTTTGTTTCATATTTATGAGTAAGGAAGAAATAGTCATCAAACTATTACTTGCCTAAACCACCAACTACTGCAATAAAAAAATCAATATCAATTACCTTTTTAGGAATATGCACATTAAAAAATATTCACTAAAGAAATCGACTATTAAGGTAATTTATATTATGATGGCATGACACACAGGATGACATATACCTGTAATATGCTATCTACATATTGCATAAACAGATTAAGACATTCTTGACGCATATGTCACGCTAAACATGAACATCACCTGTAGCTGCGGAAATTATTTATTTACCTCGCTCGATAAAAGATCGATATAAAATAGTTAATACTTATTTAAAAAAAAAAACTCACGGCTTCTGTGAAAACCCGCTGCCAATATTGCCAAAATCACAACATTCTTCAACATATTTTCTGCAAATAAAAGTGATAATTCACAGCACTAAAAGGCACTTAATATCTAACGCACTATCCGCAAATTAAATAAAATAAAACATATTGCACAAAACTATTTATTAATTATTATTATTATATAATTTTTATTATAATAAAAAATATTTTCACGCAACATTTGTTTATCATTAAAATAACATGTTATACACTGAACATAATACTAAACGAAACGGTGACAGACAAACGTCATACCACGACGGCAAGTGAAATAGAACTGAGAATAAAATTTGAGTGTGAGTCATCGCGGTTGCAGCGCCGCGATTATAGAACTAACAAGTTCTGGTTGTTGACAGATGCTAAATTTGATTCTCCATCTATTGACATAAAATTGTAACTTGCTGATTTTGATACAAACTTTTAACCATAACCAAGTATATATAGCTTTTGAGTGTTTACATTTGTGGCATATTTAAATAATATAATAATATATTATTACTAATATACGTAACTCCTTGAAATGAACAACTTTTTGCTCAGAGGCAAAATGTCCATATCCGCAAATACAATGAATGCAAAGAGCTTATACCTTCGTGGAAAATACCATTTCATTTTAAGAACTATTTAGATTAATAAAAGCAGTTCAAGTTGAACCGCGTTTTTGATTGTAGCCTTTTACGTCATCGTATACGTCAAACATGCGTCAAACTTCATTTGGTAGTTAATTTTGAATTTGAATTTTGCGCCCTCTCGAGCGTACAAGCTTGAACTAATATGTCAAATAAATTGCTTTGCTCAGTGCTGTGTGGGATGAGCAATAGTTCATTTTTATAATTTAACATGAAAGTTAAAATAGAATTTAAATAATTATATTAACACGATTATTCAAAGCTTTTGTACAAATATTATTTTATAAATTAAACGATGTTAGAATTATTAGGTTATTTATTGTGAAATGATTGACAGCCGTAATTTTCATCTTTATGTGTTTATTATTTAACGTTTGAAACTCAGTTAAATACAGTGATAACAAAATAAATACAGCCTTTCAAAGTTTAGAGATAATTTATAGAGAAACTTATGTTTGTATAGTACACGTCAAAAATGCAATATTGCTACTTTTTATTTTAAAATCTGAGGAGAATTTTTGAATATAATATAAATTATTGCCTGCTAATTGGATTGATTTGAAGCACTTATGACGAATTTTGTCAGCATAAATTGATAGCATATATTTTCAAAAAATAAAATGGATAATAGTCATGCAGAATCGAGTAAAAAATCATGGACAGAATTAAAAGAGCTCGTTTCAGACATAAGGAAGCAAGTCGCCGCAATTTCCACTGTAATACCCAGTAATATACAATTTCGAATGCTGCCTGATGGTCGGACAAGAATATATTTTTTAGGATCCACACAAAATTGTCGTGAAACAACTTTATTTGTACACAGATGTAGAAAATACTTTACAAGTGAAGCAACATAAATTGAAATTGAACCAATTATTAGAGCAAAAGCATTTTACAATGACAAAAGTACATTCTGTAGAAGAGCAGTTATTATTTGAAAGGCAAAGACTAGCTACTTGGGGATTAACGTCTTATGAATTGCATAAAGCATCTGGAAGAATAGTGTTTCCAGCAAATGGTAACATATATCATAGTATTGACACGGGATTAACAATGGATCCTCCGCTACCCTTGTTTCCGTCTGAAATGAGAACAACTGCTCTTGGTGCTTGTCTTTTACCTCAAATTTGCCCTAGTAATTATCAATTAGTTGCATTTGTAGCCTGTGGTGATATTTGGGTATCTCATAGTGAAGGTGCATCAACACGATTGACTTTTGCACATAATGGAAAACCGAATATTGCAGATGATCCACGTTCAGCTGGAATACCATCTTATGTTTTACAAGAAGAATTTAACAGGTTAATTTTCATGATATGACCTATTATTATGAATTAATATATTACACACCTAGATCCAAACAGAGGTAACTCAAAATTTTCTATTTTTTAATTTTGAATATTGTTCAGTTTTTAACTGACAATTTGTTAATAAAAAAAAAAACCAAAACGTTGAACCATGCAGATTTTTTTGTGCACTTGGATAAGGAAATTAATTTTGAAAAGCAATCAAAGAAAAGATAAAAGAGCTATTTTGAATTTACCCTATTTAGATCTATGTGTGCAATATTTATATTTATACATTTACAGTATTTTGTAAAACTGATGTGCTATGCATATCATTGAACTTATGTAAATTACTCTATTTGCAGATACTACAAATAATACTACAAAGTTTACGTTTTATTGATCAATTAATTATATAAATGAAAGATAAATTATTTTATTAAATTGATTTAGTCTTTAATCTACTCTTTAGATATCAAGGGTATTGGTGGCAACCGGAATCAAATGATGGAATTTATAGAATTCTCTATGAAGAAGTTGATGAAAGTGACGTTTCAATTTATACTTTACCTTCATCTAATACTGGGATTGAAGATGTGGAACAGTTTCGTTTTCCTCGAGCAGGAAAGGCTAATGCAAAGTCTGAATTGAAAATTGTTCAATTTAGAATATCACAAAATAATGAAGTTTTTGATATAAAGATTAAAAAGATGAAGAATTCCTTATCATATTTTTTTCCGTGGGTTGAATATCTTGTGAGAATGGGGTGGACACCTGATTCTGAACATATTTGGATTCAAATTCTGAATAGAAGACAGCAAAAATTAATTCTATTATTGGTACACATAAGTGATTTTATTTTAAGTGGTGAACAACATGATGGCAATGAAGATACAAGTTCGGTTAATGAGGAAATGATAGATCAACGACCATTACAGGTTTGTAATATCATTTTTATTAAATTTTCAAGGGTTAAATTAATTATATATACCCATAAGTTGATAGTACCTCCGCTTCTATAAATTTATACTATATTATAGTTAATGTAATAATTTATAATATATTTATATAACTCCTAATAATAAGATAAATAGTATCAATGAAATAGACATAATAGATATTATTAACAATTTCAATCTTTACTTTGCATAATTCTCTTCATTGTTATTTGTTATAATTCACAGTTAGATTTTTATATCATATAACTTGTCTTATTATTATTGATCAAATTTATATTTCATCCTAGGTCATTTATCAAGAAACTTCTAAAACCTGGATCAACATACACGATCTTCTACAATTTGTTGAAATGACTGAAAACAAAGTTTCTTTTATTTGGGCATCTGAAAAATCTGGCTTCAGACATTTGTATTACGTTACAGCCAGCATTGGTGCACATGTCAATGGCACAACAATGGAAGTAGATGATAATAATATAACACATTTACTCAATTTTGGACCAAGGTAATAAATGAGACACAATTGACATTTGGAGAATGGGAAGTTTTACAAAAGAATATGTATGTTGATGCTTCAAGGCATTTAATTTATTTTACTGGTTTTCGTGAAAGTCCTTTAGAGAAACATCTATATGTTGTTTGTTGGGATCAGCCAGGATACATTCGTTTGCTTACAAATCCTAATCATTCTTATTCAGTTGATATAAACAAGAATTGTACACTTATGGTGCAGACTTACAGTAATACAGGAACATTACCTAGTTGTGAAGTGCTAAGAATTGTACATACTGAAGCTGAAAAAGCTGTCGATGGTATCAATTTGATCTCATTAGGTTTACTATTGGAAGGATGTCCAATAAATGGCATGATAAATAGTCCTCAAATATATAGCCCAAAATTATCAACAGGTGAAACGCTATATGCAATGGTATTTAAACCTCAAAATTTTAAACCAGGCCAAAAATATCCAACTGTGTTAAATGTGTATGGTGGACCTGAAGTACAAACTGTGAATAATACATTTAAAGGTATACGACAGCTTAGAATGCATATGTTAGCTGCAAAAGGTTTCTGTGTTGTATCTATTGATTCCAGAGGATCCCAACATCGAGGAGTAGCATTTGAAAGTCATTTGCATCTTCGCATGGGAACTGTTGAATTAAAGGATCAAGTAGAAATTTTAAATAATCTTGCCCAAGAATTAGGCTTTATAGATACTTCTAGAGTTGCAATCCATGGCTGGTCATATGGTGGATATCTCAGTTTAATGGGCTTGATTCATTACCCACATGTATTTAATTTAGCGATTGCAGGTGCTCCAGTCACTTGTTGGGAACTTTATGATACTGGATACACAGAAAGATATATGGATTTACCAGATAATAATCGTGAGGGTTATCAGTATGGATCTGTATTATCATATCTAAACAAATTTCCTGATGAAGAGCATAGGTTATTAATAATTCATGGTATGATTGATGAGAATGTCCATTTTCTTCATACCAAACAATTAGTAATGGGGCTTGTGCAAGCATGTAAACCGCATGAATTACAAGTCTATCCTAATGAAAGACATTCATTGAGAAATATTGATGCTAGCAAACATTATGAAACTAAATTACTTGCATTTTTACAAAATTACTTGTGAGCTATTTCGATCTATTTATTTTATAAATAACATACATAAATCACTTTGTTTGCTCATTTTTGTGCATTACTTTATATCATTGACTTTTCACACATTTATAAAATATAAGAAGATATTTATAGGTTCTGAAGTATTTACATAGGCTTAATATATTATTTAAAGATTTTATTGGTATGTTTATAATAAATCATCAGATATTTTAATTTTGGCACATTTATTCTAATGCTTTTACGAAGGTTTAACTTTTATCAACAAATATTTTGCAGGATTATGCTTCTATGAACTTGACATGTTTCACACATTTTCCTAATTCGAAATATGAAAAAAATTAAACATTTAACAATATTTTTTTTATCAATGTAATTATTGGTTGAGGGGTTTTTAACCCCTTTCATATTATTTTAATCTCCGAGTGAAATAACATACTTTAAATGTTTCTTTAAACGTCCAAGTGTTACTTCAAAATGAACAAATTAACTACAAATAAATAAAACGAAATATATTCTAAAGGCTAAAAAACCTAATTGAATTGAATAATAAAAAATAATAATATAGAATAACGTGAATTATCTGTACGAAGCTCCAAGTCGGCCGCTACACGTGGTCTGGGAATATCAGCTCGGTCGGGTGGCACTATATGAAAACTAACCGATCGACTTGTGACACAATGTATATTATATAACTAATGACACTGAATGAACCGAAACTGTCGCACGATGGACAGAAAATAATAACTCAATATTTCATATTACTGTCGGCATGGGACTTTTATATCGGTTCGAATTGCCTGCTTTTAGTAATTTTGATAGTGTCAGACATCTAAAGTAGCTATGGCGCAACGCTATAAAACGCTTTTGTGTAGAGCACGAAAAACACTATACTTTCGTTTATATGCGACTAGAAAAAAAATGGTACAATCTCTCGACGACCAAATCGTAATCTTTGAATCGTGAAAAAAATCTGAAAATTGAACACCGTATTTCAGATTGTATTATTGAATAATAATCTTTTTGTTTATTAGTCGATTACATCACAATGTTATATTGTCTATTCTTACAGCTGTAAAATCCTTACAGTAAATAAATACAATTGAATATTATAGAAAAATAAAAATAATTTTCGGTAAAAATATTCTTTAATTAATAAATATAAATAAGCAAAATTATATTCACAATATGGTTCTAAAATACTATGCAAATTAATATGTGATAACTATCTAAATTTTGTAAAATTTTATATTTTAAAAGACTGGGCATTTTTTTTTTTTAAATCCTATTAAACTAACATATTATAGCAATATATAGCATAAATCATAATATAATATAATTTTAGAAATATTTTCTTAACATATCAGAATAACTGAGTGATTTGTACACGGAATGGGCTTTTGTTGACTTTATGATAGTTACCTATTAATAAAATCACATTTTTAATTTGTTTGAATTTAAATGCTATATTATAGCAATGTTCACTATTATGTCACTAATAAAAACTTCTACTCATTTTATATTAGAAATTGTTGTCGGTTCAAAGGTACAACAATTCATAGTCAAAGTACCAATCGATAGCCAGACTATTATATGTATGTAACCCACAAGAAATGATATTAAAAAATTGGAAATATTCTAGTATTAAAAGTAATCTAATAATCCATATACAATTATATTATTACAATTACAATTATTAAAGTAGAGTTCTATATTACTCGTTTTATATTTATACTTGCTCGCTGGTCATCCATCCTTCCACTTTGTATTTTCATAATGAGCGAAAAAAAATCTTCGTCTGGAACAGTAGTACCGTCATTGTTATTATCTTTAGTTGACTTCGAATGTTGATTGCTTGATTGAGGATTGCAGTAGTCTATTTCGAATGCAGCTTCATCTTTGGAAATTGAACTTTGCCAATGAGATGTGTCTGGTAAATCTGATCGCTGCTCTTCCAACCTAGAAGCCTGAAATAACAAGAGCAAATACTTCAATAATTGATTCAAATTAAAGAAATGATTGTATATATTGTGCTAAGCTTCAAACAAGTTTTTTTTAAAAAAATATTGTTAGGTTTCGGAACTAGGTATGTAATTTCAAATGCACTATACCTGTGATTTTATAATCATATCGAGCAATTTTTCATCCGGCTGTTGCTGAATTTTCTTTGTCGTTTTGGATCCTGGCAAATGTGGCAAATAAACCCTTTGTTCATCCATTCTGTTACCTTGAAGTCCTTCAATCATATCCAATAAGTCTATTCCTGGATCCTTATCTTCACTGCTGATAAAAATAAATAAATGTGATAATATTATTTATGTGTTCAAGAAAGTGTTGAAGAGTATTTATAAAGATTCTATAACAAAGATGCAAGAATTGAAAACCATAGTAATATGCAATAATCTTATTCGATAAACTTTTAAACACTTCGGTACGACGCCCGCTGTCCACGAAACGTCCCGTAATGATGGAGCTCGGCTGCGTGGAGCGGCCGTCAAATAAACTTGCCACTCGTACCAAAGTGGTTAATAATATCATTTTAATAATTATTTATATCTTGAATTATTTAGTATACTAATTTTTTAGAACGTGATCTTAATCTTTTTTTTTTAATTAAATACTGTTAAAATTTAGCCTCCAACATTACCTGTTAGTTTTATTTGTAGCTATATTATTTGTTCTACAATTTTCTTTATTTTCTCCAACCTGAAAAGTTATTAATTGATTACAATACTTATTGATGATAATATTCAATCTACTCATTCAATAATTTGAAATTACATAAAACATACATTAAGTGAACATCTCTGATCTTCCATTCTGCCAGATTGAAATCTTGAGAGTAAATCAAAAAAGGATTCCTCCTCGATTTCTTCTTCTTTCTTTTTATGAGACTTTCCCAACTTACTAGCAAAATTGAGGCTTCCCAAGGTCGATTTTTTTATGTCATTTCTTGTATTGCTTTGATTGTTTGGAATTGATTTTCCATCAGGCGTCAACTGTAATATATTAATTTAGATTCACTTAAATTTAAACGTATTTAAAAGAATAATTAAAATATTATCCAAAAATTTATTATAAACATTGATATAAAACGTTGCAGGGCAAAATGCTTTCGTGAAATGATAAGCTTTCAATAACACAAATTTGAACTCAGCAAACAAAATGTTACACTTAGTTTTACAACTAAATACAGGGTTATAGCATTATGTGCAAACTTCCAATAAACTATACTTGTTAGAGTATATTATTGATAGGGATGTAATTTAATAAACCTTTATTAAGTCCAGCTGCTCCATTGACTGTCGTCTCACTCTTTGCACTCTATTGTTGGCAGATCTTTGCTGCTCTTGCTGTTCCTGACACTTTATATCCACATCAGCTTTTCGGTATGGAGCATTGACTGCTGTAGTCACTGTGTCACTGGAAGCTTGTCCATCAGTATCACTATTAGCATGTGTTATATCTGTTGTTTCAGAGTTTTGGTCAACTTCTGTTTCGGCATTGTTGCAAGCACTACTATTTATTCCAAGAACTCGATGCAATTCCTCAATGTTGCACAAAGCGGTAGCCTCACCAATCCGATCATTCAACTAAAAATTTATATAATTGTTTATTTATAAGCATGTATGTATATATTTATATGACATGCAATAAAAAAAAATCATATTGTAAGTGAATAGATAGAATAGAAAAATGAATACAACAAACCTCCCGGCTTAAATCAAGATGTAAACCCGCATAATATAATGCTTTTTCTTCATGTCCTGCTCCCAAGGCACTATGAGCATTGCCTAATGACCAGGATGCTCTAGCTTCTCCCACCCTGTCTCCTAATTGGCGAGCTATTGCTAGATGACGTTGATGATATCTAGATAAAATCAATATTACAACAGTTAGTATACTTGTTTTGTTAAAACTTTTTCAGTTATGATTTTGGTATTTTACAGCAATTAAAAGATAATCAAATAATTAATAATTACCCTATAGCCATATCATAATCTCGAAGAAGGGTGTAAGTATTGCCTAGACTATAGCATGCTTGTGCTTCCACTGCTCTTTCATCTAACTCTTGAGCTAACAATAAAGTACGTCTACAACACATAGTGTAAGATTAAAATTCTAAATATGCAGTAAAATACATTATTCTAGTTGTTCATACTTGTAATGATCGGCTGCTGTCTCAAATTCCCCTAAAAATATATGAGAATTTCCTAAATTACTATGTGCTCTTCTCTCAGCCTGTCTATCTCCAAATTCTTTTGCTATTTCTAATCTTCTGGTATGATACTCAATAGCTCCATAAAAATCTCCAAGTAAGTATAAAGTATTTCCAAGGTTACCACAAGCCCTTCCTTGAGCTGCATGATCACAAAGTTCTTCCATGAGCTTCAAATTCTTTCTAGAATGATAAATAGATAACATTTATATAAGTAAAACAATTAAATAGTCATTTCTAATTACTTACTGATAGTATTGAACAGCTTTTTCTAAGCAAGCCCTGACTTCAATGTTATCTTCATTGCTATCTTGATAATCATTCTCTGTTCCATTTCGACTTCTATGCCCAAGATGTTTCCCTTGAGCATGAAATACATTTCCTAAATTGTACAAAGCTCGTCCTTCACTAGCTCTATCTTTTAGTTCCCTTGCAATGCTTAAATGCCTTTCACAACACAATGCTGCTTCTTGGAATCTTCCCATAACTTTTAATGTATTTCCTAAATTTCCAGATGATTTTGCTTCACCAAGTTTATCATTCATTGTTCTAAAATGGTATTTTTTTATGAGTATGGTATTATTTTATGAGTTTTATTTGTATTATCAATAATGTACAAGATAATATTAAAGATTGTGGATTGGATATGGATTCTGGTTTTTCTAATATTCCTGAATGAGAATTTATCTGATAATATATTTAAAATGTACCATATCAAATATTAAAGGAATAGTTTTGTATTATACTGTATTTGCAGTTACAATAAAATAAAATAATTATATACCTTGCTAGTGTAAGATCTAATTTATGATATTGCATAGCTTGATTGTATTCTCCCAAATAAAAATAAGCATTGCCAAGCTGACTGTAAATTGCGCTCAATGTACGAAGATCATCAGTGCCGGCTTGAATTGCTGCTTGAAAAAATGCAATTCCTGCTCTGCAATCTCCTGACTTGCATAATCTCTCCCCTTCCAATGCTAGTTCCAGACACATTGTAGATCCTTCGAAATTCTAAATAAAAATATTTATGCCATGATATGCTAACATAAGCAATTTGTTGTACCAACTCAAGCCCCCTGTTAAATTTATATTTAAATACCATACCACAACCAATAGATTCTTTTTACTTATTACATGTGCATCCTGTTGCGCAAAGGCAAAAACACATCATATGAACAGGCAACATTTCATGGACATTATTAGTAAATATTAAGATAAATAGATATTCAATTAATAAACTTCTTCATTATAAACATGTTGATAAATTATAGCATGTTTAAAATATTTCCTCATCCACATTTCCAACTAAATTTCAACAAAATCAGGCATAACAATGATTCATAACATTCATGGTAGATTATTTATGTTCTTAATTAAAACAGTTATTTGTACGCCAAACATTATACAAAATGCAATATGTATGTAAATTATTGTTATTAATTATTCCCAGAGCTTGAAATATATATAATATATGTATGAATTGTGTTCATAATAGTTAATCACAAATGTTAATTTAGATAATATTTTATACCTGATACTCGGTTGTCAAATTTTCACCACTTGCACTTGAACTTGACATTTTTTCACATATATGTAAATATAACTACAAAATATATACTTGCATAAATGTTAAAAATCATAAAAAATTAATTTGAAGATAAAACAATACAAAAATTATTAACTAGAACGGTTGACAAAGTTGACATATAAAATATATAGCAAATTCCTACCAACATAGGATAACATTTCACTTCTAAGCACGCAAGTCAATAAAACTGACATTTGGCACGCCTTGGGCGTCCACAGTGGTAAAATGATGAATCATCTGTTGCGCTATCACATGCTTTTTTAGATAGTTACTTTCATAGATAAACCCATTGTAGTATTGTTTACAAACATTGTAGTAATTTTACACCCATTGTAGTATTGTTTACAAACATTGTAGTAATTTTACACCCATTGTAGTATTTTTACAAACATTGTAGTAATTTTACACCCATTGTAGTATTGTTTACAAACATTGTAGTAAACTTACACCCATTGTAGTATTTTTACAAACATGTAGTAATCTTACACCCATTGTAGTATTGTTTACAAACATTGTAGTAATTTTACACCCATTGTAGTATTTTTACAAACATTGTAGTAATTTTACACCCATTGTAGTATTTTTACAAACATTGTAGTAATTTTACACCCATTGTAGTATTGTTTACAAACATTGTAGTAAACTTACACCCATTGTAGTATTTTTACAAACATGTAGTAATCTTACACCCATTGTAGTATTGTTTACAAACATTGTAGTAATTTTACACCCATTGTAGTATTTTTACAAACATTGTAGTAATTTTACACCCATTGTAGTATTTTTACAAACATTGTAGTAATTTACACCCATTGTAGTATTGTTTACAAACATTGTAGTAAACTTACACCCATTGTAGTATTTTTACAAACATGTAGTAATCTTACACCCATTGTAGTATTGTTTACAAACATTGTAGTAATTTTACACCCATTGTAGTATTGTTTACAAACATTGTAGTAATTTTACACCCATTGTAGTATTTTTACAAACATTGTAGTAATTTTACACCCATTGTAGTATTGTTTACAAACATTGTAGTAATTTTACACCCATTGTAGTATTTTTACAAACATTGTAGTAATTTTACACCCATTGTAGTATTGTTTACAAACATTGTAGTAATTTTACACCCATTGTAGTATTTTTACAAACATTGTAGTATTTTTACACCCATTGTAGTATTTCTACAAACATTGTAGTATTTTTACACCCATTGTAGTATTGTTTACAAACATTGTAGTAATTTTACACGCATTGTAGTATTTTTACAAACATTGTAGTTTTTTACACCCATTATAGTATTTTTACAAACATTGTAGTATTTTTACACCCATTGTAGTATTGTTTACAAACAATTACTACGTTACTTTTATTTATTTAACTCATTTAGTTTTAGTAAAAAATCAAATACCTCCAAAATGTGCAAATGAAAAAACAAATAAAAAAATCGTCTACTTCTTTACAAAACATCCTGAACCGATTTTGATAAGGTAAAAACTGTGCGAAAAATATCAGTTGGAAATAGTCAATTCAATTCGCTCTGGGATCAGATCGCTTGGAGCGCTTCTTCTTAACTAATTGTTTAACTTTTTTTAAATTTTTGATTAATAGGCGCCGGATATGTAAGGTTATTTGTTTGCCATTAAATTATGCGCATATAATGAGTGAAGAAAGCACATAAATAAGAAAGTAAATTTTGTTATAATTTCAAAAGAAAATTCAAGAAAAAATAACTTGCTTTAGAAGAACTTAAGTTAACTTAAGTTGCTGAAATCCTATATGATATTTTATATACTATGTTTGTAAGATTTTATTGATCTCAGAATAAAATAAACCAATTTCTTCATGCAGTCCTTAAATTTTGCTTTAGTATCTGGTGGCGCCATAATATCGTTGGATGGATTTCTAACGGGAAATTTAAACGGAATGTTTAGATGACTGTCCGGTAGTCGATCGTAGTCGATATCTATGGTCTCGAGCATTCTGTCTGTTGCCTAGTAGTTTGACCATAGATAAATAATTACAAATCTTTTGATATTTTATCGCGAATTCATAATACAAATAAATATATTTATCGGCAGTTTTCATGGTATTAGTACTGTTAGGACTGCCAGTCTTTTATTATTTGTGAAAAACTTTCAATTATATTTTCGTAAAGTGACGCTTGACTGTTGACGTTGCAATTATCATTCTAATCGTATCGTGTTGGATGCATTGGAAACCTTTTACTGACTTGACTCATCAGTCGTAGACGCCTTGCCGAATTGTTTTTTTTTTTTGCTCCAGTCATCGATAGCAAATATCGGGGTGCACAGTTATTTCTATACATATTTGTCAAATGTTAAGAATATTGAGTAGCATTTAGTGATGTCATTATAGATCACATATGAATTTAAGATTAAAAATATAACTCTATTACATCGAAGAATTCTATGTACAGCAGTGGAAATATTTAATAGTTGTATTTATATGCATCCGGATAAATTGAGATTGTTTCTGTGAGCTTCTTGTAATGTCAGTTGCCGAAATGAGTGATGAAGCTCATCCGCGAACTTTATACGTTGGTAATTTGGACACAAGTGTTTCAGAAGATTTGTTGTGTGCTCTTTTCAATCAAATCGGCGCTGTGAAAGGGTGTAAAATTATAAGAGAACCCGGCAACGATCCATATGCCTTTGTTGAGTTCACAAGTCATCAATCAGCAGCAACTGCTCTTGCTGCAATGAACAAAAGATCTTTTCTGGATAAGGAAATGAAAGTAAATTGGGCAACCAGTCCTGGAAATCAGCCCAAAGCAGATACAAGCAGTCATCATCACATATTCGTTGGTGATCTAAGCCCTGAAATTGAAACACAAACATTACGTGAAGCTTTTGCCCCCTTTGGAGAAATTTCAAATTGTAGAATAGTAAGAGATCCACAAACATTAAAATCCAAAGGTTATGCATTTGTATCATTTATAAAGAAGGCAGAAGCAGAAAATGCAATTGCCGCTATGAATGGACAATGGTTGGGATCACGTTCCATTAGAACTAATTGGTCTACTCGAAAACCTCCACCTCCAAGACAAGACACCAGGCCAAGTCGCATAGGAAAAGCTCCAACATTTGATGAAGTATATAGTCAATCAAGTCCAACAAACTGCACGGTATATTGTGGTGGATTCAGTAATAATGCTATTTCAGAAGAATTAATGCAAAAAACATTTAGCCAATTTGGTCAAATACAGGTATATTTTAAAAATTATTTGAATATGAAAAAAAATTTTTGAAATACTTCATAAAATGGTTTGTTTTTTTAGGACATTCGAGTATTTAAAGATAAAGGGTATGCATTTGTTCGCTTCACAACAAAAGAAGCTGCAACTCATGCTATAGAAGCTACACACAATTCTGATATTCAAGGTCATACAGTAAAATGTTTTTGGGGCAAAGAGACTCCAATCGGAGATGTACAAAGCCAAGTAATGGGTGGACCAAATTCTAGTGCTGGATCTATTGCTCCTCAAGGCGCTCAGTATCCGTACACTTACCAACAACAGATGGGATATTGGTATCAACCGGTCAGTTAATAAAACAATATCTATATTTTAATTTCGTGCGTGATGAAATTATTAAATCAGATCACTTTTTTTACTTTATATTAGTATAAATATTATTATAATATTTATACTTCCAATATTTTAGAAAATTATTAAAATACTGTGAAGCTAACCATATAAATTTCAAGAGACTATTTTACTATGCGGGAGGTAAAAACTTGTTTAAACTATAGGTTATGTGTGACTCTTTTGAAACTATTCATAATTTATGAGAAATAATGGAATATGCTTCAAAAAATATATCTTGACTAATTTTATCACTAGTACATATATCTATATATTAACATCGAATAATTAAAAATGAATGGATAAGAGGCTTATATGTCTTGTATGTTTTGATATCTGCATACATACAAATTTTGCAGATACGGGTGTAATTTTCCTCAGGATTCTATTCATCCTTTGACGTGTTAGCTGAAAATGATATTGGTGAGAAATTTTCATTTCACAAAATTTAGTTTTTTTTAATCTTCCAGCAAATGCTTGTTTTGAGATGTGATTTGTAGATTGCTGATTATTTATCTTAAGAGCAATCTGTTTAGGTTGGATAAGTATTTGTACATTTTACTACAGTGCTCGTTGCAACGTTGGACATATCTGGAATTTGTGCTTAATTATATTGACTAGTTGAGTTACAGTAGTTACTTAATTTTATATATGATAATACTCTCTTCTGTCTTCATTATTATTATTATAATTATTATATATAGAAATGTATTTTTATGTTTTTCTATAACATCCAATCATTTTCAGGGATATCCTGCTCCACAAATGGCCCCTCAGTACATGCCACCTAATTATTATCAACAATATGCTTACACAACGCCGCCACAGTCTGCAGCAGGTTTGTTGCTATATTATTAGCTTATATTGGTCCAAATTTTATTAAGTAATGTTTGTATAGCTATATCAATTTGCTATTTTTATTAGTTTGGGGTAAAAACTCATCCATGTTCAACCTTTATTATAGTAATTTTCAGATAGCATGTCAGTAATTTTATATTCTTTATAGTTGTTATATTTAAGACTTTATAGTATAATGCAAGGACTACATAGTATAACACAAAAATAGCTTGAACTAATGTAGTAATATATTGCAGAAAAGTCCCTACACAAATTTTATAGATGTTTATTATTTCATGAAATGTTAACACTCTCCCTACAGGAAATATTTATTTAAAAAAAATTCTTGTATTAAATATTTAGGTAAATTTAAGTGAAACTTTATTAGGTTATTTCATTTTGAATTTTTTTATTATACCTCATTGATGCGGCAAAAAACAATGTTAAATTATGTACTGGAACATTCTACATGAAGAATGCTATTCAGGAATGATTACAATAACAGAATAATTTAAATTTTTATTAATCATCTAATGTGCAACTACTCATGCATTTTAGATTTTTTTTTTTATACTTCAATAATATTTGTTTCAGGCTTCCGAATGGCGATACAACCTGGATGGGGAATACAAGCAGCTCCTGGAGCTCCTCAAGGACAGCCGCCAATGATGTACACAATGCCACAGTTTCAAACTCAATGAGTTTTTAGTGAAAAAAATAATGCATATGTTTTCAAAATATGTGCAATTATTGCATGACTAAAATTAAGACAAGAACAACCTTCAGATACGGTTTTAACAAAATAAACCATGAGCCTGTGAATATAATGGGACATTTGGGAATTAGTAAATTTACTTAACGATACCTTTTTTCACTGGTACTTCTCTTAAGAAAATTGAATTGTAAAATTATAGTTTTTTTTTTTTTTTTTAGTGGTTTTTTAAAACATTTTTATTCTCTTAGAGTTCATAAAATTTCTCAAAAGGCAAAAATTTCAAAAAAAAAGCATCTAGAAATTTTGAAAATATTTATTCTATTAATGATTTTTGAATTTACAAAGAATTGAGAAAAATGATTTGCCTGTTAATAAATATATTTTAATTTTTATTTGACCTTACATTAACAAGAACATCTGTAAACAAAAAATTGTAGCTTTGTATTAGGATAGCAGAAAAGAATGAATGTGTATGTGGTTTTTGAGCTACCAAATAAACAATGAAATACAATATTACAACATATATGAATGATATTTGTATATATTCACATGAAATATAACTTATTCTATTAATTTCTTAGCTTTAAAGTATCTCCTTAAATACAGGACTTGCCAAGTTGCCAACCCTAATAAACAGCACATGCTGAAAATGCTGAAGAATAAAACTCTAGAATTTGTTGATTCTGAAATGAAAAAAAAAATTATCTTGGCTTGTATATATATATATATATATATATATATATATATATATATATATGATGTGGACTTCTAACCATTAGTATCTCTCATTTCTTCTTCCGTTTACGCATATGTGAAAAATCTTGCACAATTGCATCAGATAGATCTTCCAAACGTTTTAATTCGACCTCTAAAGGCTTCAATTTAGCAGCTTCACCTAACTGAATAGCAAATAAAATAAATTATAGTGCATGATATAACATATATGAGGTAGCACTTACACCTTCATAGCTTTTAGCTTCAATTCCTCTTTTTATATTTAGAAGTACTTCTTGCTCCACACCCCGATGATCTACAATGCAATGGATGGTTATATCATGATTGCCACTATATTTTTATCCATTTAACTTACTTGGTGGCACTCGTGAAATAAAGCATATTTCAAACATATCATATATCTCTGTCACAAATGAAAATTTTCCCTTTGAAATGTCATCTTTCTGAGACAAAATGTGCCCCTTTGATTCTCTAACCTAAAAGAACTATATTTTGAAAACGTTTCACAACTCAAACTGATGCAATCATAAAATCACAAACCACATAGTCCACTTGCTGTGCAGGCGCTTCTGAAACTTCATAATCACCAGTAACTAATACATTAGATTGTAGTTCTTCACGCAAACATTTTTGTGTATTCGGTTTCAGTTTCCACATAATACCGTTTACATGCGAAACCACACATAGTACTAAACTCATAAACTTAAAGAGATGCATATTTGTTACTATACCACAAAATAAATTGTTTCAAAATTTATATACAAATAGCCAATTTCTATGTGTTAAGTTTTATTGTCATCAACAGATCCCAGTCTGCTGTTTTGCATTGATGAGGTGGCCCCACATAGCAATTCAGTTTTACAGTATCAGTATCTTTAAACAAACGCGTTTACAAAGAATTTGACGTTTTTGGTACCATAGATAAACACCAATCTGCGTATTTGTGAGGGCACTTGATGTTAATAGAAGTGTCCAATCCCGAATTAAAGTGACAGCCAAATGTATCCAACTCATAGACCTTATACAATACATGGACTGCTAGTTGAGCGCATAAAAAGTGTCAAAAGATGTTCTATGGTATGAGGGCATACGAGGGTAATTTTGCGGCCGAGATATGTCAAATACGAACACGAGCTTTACCGAGATTAGTCGAATGCACTCGATCGCTTAAATTTTACAGTTACTTCGGTTCACGTGATGTTTGATCGTTCGGGTTTTTAAACTAAAAGAGGATAAAAATATACCTGTTGTAAAATTGTTAAAAGTAAAATGTCTTCTAAAATGTGTAAGGTAAGGTGCCTGATTGCAGTAAAACCTGTTTTGTGCTGTTCTGTATGCTTCGTAAGTATTCCGGGAAATTCGACATTGATCGATATAAAAAATCGAGGATATCTTTCATATCCTTCCGAAGAAATGTTTAATTTATGTTTATATATAGAAAGCCTAATTCAAAATTCTTTAAATTTAATGTACAAAAGTTCATATGAAAGCATGATTCTCTGAAAGTTGAATGACTTGGGACTTGCACATTTTTTTAGATCAAGTTATTTCCAGCAATTTGTCCAGCATTATCATGACCTTATCAACTTTGTCGCAAAAATTTACTTAACAATTAGAATGCACCATGAAGAAAGAAAGAAAAGCAAAGTTGATAATAGCTCTAGCCAACTGTCCTTATTTTCAGTGAATTTTATAATATGTAAAATATTGTTTTAATTTTTTTTTCTAATTTCCCTTAAACACTTTGTATAACTAAAATAAATAAATTAATAAATAAATAGTTCATTACATTCATTAGTTCAACATAAATTGTATATTCTATAATATTTTGCCAACAATTTCGAACACACGGACTCTCATTTGACGTTTAAGCGATCGAGTTTGACATATCTCGGCCGCAAAATTACCCTCGTATGCCCTCATACCATAGAACATCTTTTGACACTTTTTTACTTAAGAAATGTATGGGGACTAGCAGTCCATGAAATTGTATAAGGTCTATGATCCAACTTCATATAAATTTGAATGACAGATAAACAGAGAATTTTATACGAATCGCCAAATGTGGCGTACAACGAGAACAGGAAGACCAGAAAAGATATTTTATTTGTTTGTTGAATGTTGATACATTAATACATTAGCTTGTGCATTAGTATGATAGTACCGTACCAAGACAATGTTAGAATATAATATATGGTACCGTATAAATGCTCAAATGACATATTAAAGATATAAAAAATGATGGAAAAACAAAATCTGTTTGAATCAATTGAATATTTTATACAACGTTAATATGACCATTGCAATAAATCCCGTTCATGAAAATATTTTTCGCACTTTATGAACGTGTGCTAGAAGAGCTTAATGATGAATCAACCTGGCGGTATTAATTCAAATACTCGATCTCCATTTGAATATTTATTCAATATGTTTCCATTTGGTGGAATTCCGAAAGGACATGAAAAACCACTTAAGCATGCATTTTACAATGCGGCAGCTTTATTTCTGCTTTTTGTTTTGAGTGTGGCAGCTTACGGTTTGTTTCTAATATTACAACCGTTCTTTAAGCCATTGTTGTGGGCTCTACTTGTTGGTTCAGTATTATATCCTTTGAAAAGGGAATTATCTGAACAGATTAAAATTTGGTTATCCACATTAGATGAATCAAATACATCAATTATAATGGGCGTTATAAAATTACCAGCTAATGTGATTGATCGCCTGTCAGAATTACTTGGAAGATGGCTTTTTCAACATGCAAAAATTATAATATCATTGATGACTATTCTGCTCACTATGCAATTTTTGCATTGCTATATTCCAAGCAGTTTCACGTGCATTATATGGAAAATAATGCTACTGAGCAATGTTATATTTACATGGATAATTAGCTTATTTGAAACCAAAATTGTATGTTTATACTTAAACAGTATAGAAAATAACATGAAACATATAACAATTTATGTGTTTTAGGTTTTATCAAGCACATGTTGCTACGTAGTTATGTTATTTTGTTTTTGGAGCCCTGATCGTGCCACACTTTTTAAACATACTTCAATTATAATGTGGTTTATAATATCTTGTTACACAAGCAATATTCTAGGAGTATTTCAAGTTCCACTCTTTTTCATAATTCAAATTTCAGTAATAAGTGGATGGATTCTGAAAAAACATAATCAAAATTCGAATTACCAGTATTCAAATGAATCTCAAGGTATAATTTTAAAAATTGTGAGTTTTGTTGCTAAATAAAATTAACTTTCATATAATTCTGACCTTTCTGTATAGCTTGAAAAAAAATCTAACTTTCATTTTTGAATAAATATTTTATCTATGTATTTACTCTCAAATATATTATAATTAAATTAGATATATGTTATATTGATAAATGTTTCTTTTCTGTCCAATAAATAAAAAACAATAAGTTTTTTTGTAGATTCCGATGTTTCGGAACTAAATATCTACAAAAAATTTTATTGTTATTTATCAATTTATTAAAAAATCCAGGAAATATCAATTAAATATAATATATATTATTCAACAAAAATTATACCAATTATTATATTCCCGTAGATACTGCAGACAATCAAAAAAAGATATTATTAAGTGTTAATGATGCTCAGAAAGAAATAAACACAGAAGGTGATGCTCCACCAAAAGCACAAATAATTGAGCAAGAAAAAAATGTACAAGTTTCATCCAAATTCAAAAGATTATCAATAGTCAAAAATCCTTTATGCTTCCAACAGTGTAATAATGTGAATAATGATTACGTTCTTGATAGTGATATATATTTTAACTTTTTATTTTATTCTTGTGGTTTCCTACTGCTGTGGAAGCAATTATGGTTATTACCATTATTAACAATTCCTGTGATAGTGTTTTTATCTAAGAGACTTTGGTATTTTTTTGGTATGCACAGCAAAGTTTGTTCATACATTCAGCATCTGTTAAATCGTTTTGAAGAAAGAAAACATTCTTTGATTTCTGTACCAGTTGAGGGAGCTATTGTTTTGATTCAATATATTCATCGAGTGTTGTTAAACACAGCTAAAGAGTCTGTAGACAGTGTTTCAAGTGGTGCAGTAATTCTTGTATTACTAATATCTCTTTCAATAGCAATGTTATTTATATCAATTCAGGTATTATTATTTTTATATATATTTTTAGCGCACTTTTCCTATACAATAATTTATTGCAGATCTATGCAGAAGTAATTCAAATGGTGCAAATGGGTAGTTCATTTGTTAATAAGACAATAATTCATAATCCTGAGTTATTGGGCCTTTTACCTCCTGAAGTGGAAGAATCATTTGACAACCTACTTGAAAATGCTTATCAGTATGGACGGGATGGTATTTCTAAGTTGGTATGGATATTTTGATATACCATACACATATAACATTTTAGGATGCTTGTTTAGACTTTGATGTTTGAATTATCAAACAACTTTTTTTTCAACAATTGCATGGTTAATAATTACCAAAAACTAATATCTTTAAAACAGTTTTGGAAATTTTGAAGTTTGTTTATAATTTTTTGACAAATGTGAACATTTACCACAATGTTACGGTAACATTTATATAATTGTTTCAAATTAGGTGAAATGTTTCTTACAAGATGTTGATAGTACTCAGGCACAACATCTAGAATCACAGTTACTAACATTATGGGATCGCGCTTACCAAAGCTGGATCGATAACCCAAACACTGTTAGCCATGGACCTCATGTTTCACAAGATGCTGTCAGGCAATCGTTTGATACTTTCATGGAAGATCTATATAAAAGCTCGGGTACGTAATATTTTTGAGCTTTTATATTATCTAATTATCAGTTAATTTTTTGAAGACTTTCTAATGTAGGCTATTAATATATTAATATATACTTTAATATGTTAATTATAATTTTCTAGTTTGAACATCCTGGACTAATGTGAATATTATCTTTCATTTAAATTTTTTTCAGAGTTATTGAACGTAGCAGGCATAATGAATTGGATGAAACAAAACATTGGGACGCTAACTGGTGTTCTTGAATCTACTTGGTCATTATTGAGAGGAAATTTGGAACTGTTATTGGGCATCATAACAGCTGCTGTTCATTTATTACTCGGTAGCAGTTCAGCCGTTATTACTTGGCTGTTAAATTCTGTAAGTTTAAATTCATACAAATTATATATACAGTAGCAGCTCCTTACTCACAGACAAAATAAATTAACAAATTCAATGAACTTGAACACATTAGTTCTTTCCTCAAATAATTCTTCTTTCATTATTCAATCTATCAATATTATAGATGGTGTTTCTGACTACTCTGTTTTACTTATTGGCCAGTAGCGGTAAACAGTATCGACCAGTCGAAGTTCTTTCTAAGTTGGCTGGTGGCGCAAAGACAGTAAAACGAGTATCCATAGCATTAGAAGAAACTGTAGCTGGAGTGTTTTTGGCCACTTTAAAAATGTCTCTTTTTTATGGTCTTTGGACGTGGCTCATCCATAATATATTTGGAACAAGTGTAATATATTTACCAGCTGTAAGTTTATATTCAATAATATGTTCTTATATTTACATTTAGATTATCTAATAGAAAATAATATGTACAACAAAAGTTACAGCTTGAATATAACAGTGTCAAATTTTGATCATTTTCTTATAGTCTAAAAAGGACAAGTGAATTGCTGAAAATATTAGTTTTAAATTCTATAAAGTAAACAATAACGATTAGTAACCATAGTGCTTTTAAATTTGAGTTTTAGCCAACCCATAATATTATTTTCAGAATTAGACCTGCTAAAATAACAGTAACTTAATATAAATATAGGTGATTGCATCAGCTTTAGCTGCTATTCCATTTTTGGGTACTTATTGGGTATGCAGTGTCGGTGTACTGGAGCTGTTATGTTTGCAGGATAGATTTTGGTCAGCTGTAGGTCTTGCAGTATTTCAAGTTGCTCCTACCACATTAGTAGATGGAACTATTTACAATGAAATCAAGGGGTGGGTACAATATTCAGTTAAGAGGATATTATTGTTTATATGAATTGCATTTTTGAGATATATAGTAAAAGGACATATAAAAGGGGACATATATATATATATATATATATTTATTTAATTGAACTGTTTAATAATTTAATACAGCTGAACAATAATATTTCAGGGGTGGGCACCCTTACTTGACAGGTCTGTCAATAGCAGGAGGATTGTGGTGCTTAGGTCCGGAGGGCACATTGCTTGGCCCTTTACTGTTATGCTTGCTTGTAGTGGTGACTGATTTATTTACGGCGGCAATACGAGATTCGCCCATCGCAGAGCCTCATAGTGAAAAAAATCCAGGCTTGTGAATATTATATATATATATATATATATATATATATATATTATAGTTATATCTTTGGTGCTAATTAGTAATTTATGTTCTAACCAAATTTATGATACACTAAGCATTGTTAATAATATCTATCGAATGGATAACGCTTACCAATTGCATTTACTAAAAAATTCCTGAATTAACATATATGTACTTAATGAAATGAATCATATTGACTTGTAATGCCTCGCCATGTAACTAGTCAATAAACATGAATTACTTAAGTAATTCGGCTTAAGTCAAATTAATAATGTAAAAATGATAATATATATATAATAAGTACAACTATAGTTTCTTATTTCTGGTGCCATAATAATATTTAGCCGAGTTGAAACAATGTATTTCACAGAGTTTTTTAATGATTTATTAATATCAAATTTCACTATGGAATAATATTATTCCTTAGTATACGTATATGTGCACAAAATGGGTTTTGTAATAATTTTTGTTTCTTTCTTTTTCGAACGGAACCGGAACAAACATGACAACCGGTTTTTGAACCGCTTTTGAAATTTTAGCGTTCCGGCATAAAAATACTAGCACAACACCACTGCCTATAACACATTTCCAGAAGATATTAACTAAATAAAAATTACAATATAAATTAATTTTCTTACATAAGTAAAAATATAGTCTGAATATTTGTACACTATTTTAATTTTACTTTGTTTATTAAGCTGCAGCAACAGTTGCTTTTGGTAGTTAATTTTGAATTTGAATTTAGCGCCCTTTCGAGCATACTCGGTGGAACTAATATGTCAAATTTGCTTTGCTGTGTTCGGGATGAGCGTTTCTTTAATTTAAAATAAAAGTTAGATATATATGTATATTTTGAGAAAAAAGTGGACAATAGTCATTAAAATCAAGAAAAAAATCATGGGCAGAATTAAAAGAGCTTGCTTCAGACATAAGGAAGCAAGTTGCCGCTATTTCTACTTGTCCAACCAGCTGTCTGATGGTTGGACAAGAACGTATTTTATAGGTGCCATATAAAATAGTCGCAAAACAACTTTCATGTGCACAGATATGGATGGAAAATACTTTACAAGTGAAGCAACATATATTGAAATTGAACCAAAAGCATTCTACAATGACAAAAGTACATTCTGTAGAAGAGCAGTTATTATTTGAAAGTCAAAGACTAGCTATTGGGGATTAACATCTTATGAATTACATAAAGCATCCGAAAGAATAGTATTTCCACAAATGGTGCCATATATCATAGTATTGACACAGGATTAACAATGGATTCTCCGATATCCTTGTTTCCATTTGAAAAGAGAACAGCTACTTTTGGTGCTTGTTTTTTACCTCAAATTTGCCCTGGTAATTATCATTTACTTGCATTTGTAGCCTGTGGTTATAATTGGGTATCTTATAGTGAAGATACATCAACACGATTGATTTTTGCACATAATGGAAAACCGAACATTGTAATGATCCATGTTCAGCAGGAATACCTTTATGTTTTACAAGAAGAATCTAACAGGTTAATTTCTATGAGACTTATTATTATGATTTAATATATTACTTTTACTACTACTTTCTTATGAATTTATATATTAATAGCTCTATTTATAGATGCTGAAAATGAGAATTTACAAAATTTATATTTTACTAATATATCAATTACAAAAATGAAAGATTAATTAATTATGTTAGTTAATTAATTAAGTTTGACCTTTGATTTACTCTTTGCAGAATTCTTGATCATATTTGTTGTAAGAATGAGGAGGACACCTGAATCTAAGCATATTTGGATATAAATTCTGAATAGAAGACGTCAAAAATTAATTGTATTATTGGTGCACATAAAGAGAAAATGATAGATCCACGACCATTAAAGGTTTGTGGTATCATTCTTATTAAATTTTTAAGGATAAATTATTTTATATACTCCTGTAAGTGATAGTACTTCTGTTTATTATAAGTTTGGAGGACTATTTCATTGTGTATATCTCTATTATGACTTAAAATTTTATGTTTTACGTTACCACAATTTTCTTTTATGATACTAAAAAAAAATATAACATCTGCAAAATGTTGTAAATAAGTACATCACTGCAATTATATTATATAGTTATTATTTCATAATGCATTACCATGATGAAAGTATCTTCATATTATGTATATGTTAAAATACGATTAGCAAGATCCAGAAAAAATGATTTGTAATTTATGAGTGCAAATTTGTTATATTCAAACTCAGTTGTTCTATCAACAATTATTGTCAAATTAGTTTCCTACAACTCGCGATTAATTTCTTAGCAATTTGTTTGGAAAAACAATAACATTCTTATGAAATCAAGTGGCAATTCTTAACAAACGCTATTTGTAGTCATAATTATACCATATAATTGATTTTTTTCATCAGTCTTCATTGAAAAATTAAAAAGCAACTTGTTGTTCTACTCTCAATAGGATCTGATTATTGTTTTTGTTTATCATATACATTCATATATTTGCTGTAATTTGTCTTGAATTCATGTTCTGTGCAGTTTGTGCCAAACATCTAATTAAATCATAGCAGAAATTATAGCAAATCATAACATAATTAAATTATAGCAGAAAAATTCAAAATTTTTGAACCACGTTTTCACAAAAGTCTTGACCGGTTTCGAAATTTTATCTTTCATAACCACTTTTTGTAGGTTCATAATGTTTGAACCTTTACCGATTCGCCCAATGTTTACTAGAAACTAATTAACGATCCTTAAACATTTAAGGACAACAGAAAGTGGTTCAATTATAAAAAAATGATCGAAGTTTGGAATGACTTGCTAATTTTATGATTTTATGACCAAATTGCAAATGTGTAATAGCATTAACAATTTTTAAATAGTTGAACGTTACTTTTCGAAAGATTTTTCGTTATTAGTTGTAAATCATTTAACAAACTAAAAGAGAAAACTCTTAACTTCATTGCTTAAGGGGGTATTCTACTGTAAAATTTTGAAAAAAAAAAAAAAATATTTATTATTATAATCATATTTTCAAAGTTTAGTTATTCAAAAATATCTCATTAAAAGGATTTTTCAAAATTACTATTATTTCCTGAGTTATATCCGTTTTAGTGACGTGGCCTCGGGTCCGACCGAGTCTCAAAACTTTGAACGCGTTTTTCTCGGAACTACTTTTTTCGAGCTGGCGGTAAGGATATCTCGAGTTCTAATGAACCGATTTACTTCAAATTTGGAGAGGATCTTCTCTATACATAGCTTTATCGCATGGACTTTTCCCAAAATTATAACTTTTCATTTAGTATTTTTAAAAAATTCAAACAAAAAAACATGAAAAAATAAAAAAAATTTTCAAACTGCCGCCATTCAAACAAAAAATTTTTTTTAACTTATCCAAGGTTCATACGATAGCGGCATTTATAATAATTAAGAATCCATCTATTTTTTATGTTTCGGATCACCAGGAGGGTTGGAATCATGCACGCCAGGACACTCTCTTTTTTTGAGCCCCCACTTTGACTGCTCATAACATTGTGAATTCTATTTTTTTTCTTTAATAATTTTTTATGTACTAATAAAATATCAATAAACAAATGATAAAAAAATCGATAGTAAAAATATTATTTGTTTCCTTTATACAGCGCTTCGAAAACCGGGCAAAATTCATGCTTCTACAGTAGAATACCCCCTTAACGACGAACGTAAATGTATAAAAGAATACTTAGATCATAAAATGAAAATACGTTAATTTTCAAATTTGGTATATTTTATCGTCATAACCTAATGAATTTTTTACTTCTTTGTCTATCGAACTTTTAGCGTTTTTGTTTTAGCGATTAAAATAGAATGGTTATGTAAAATCATCAATTTATTATTACTATTTAATAATCTTTATAACGTGATCCAAAATCTTTGGCAATGATATATATGATATAACATTATATGATGGTGTCATGAATCACATCTTTCCTCCAAAATTATGTATGATAAATAATTGACCCAAATTCAAATGTTAATTTGATAAAAAGATTTGTCCATCCGCTTTGATATAAATTTATCAAAAATTATCAAATCACAAAAGTGGTTAAAATGTATACTCTCGTCCTTGAATAACCGAAATCATCAAAATAATTTGTGATAACAAATGTCCTGAAAAGGCTAACGCTATGAGTATGTCATAAATTGCTAGCATTTCATTAGCAAAAAGTTCAGATTTTTTTTTTAATTGCATTGGCGTATCTTAAAATTAAAACTTAATTGTGGAAAAGTTGACCTCATTGTAATATAGTAAGAACGTAAAATGACACTAAACTAGTTCCTGGTTCGATATACCCTTTAGGTCATAGATCTCAAGTGAAAATGGCTGCAGTGCTGCAATGAAAATATGCTCATCGGTAGATATACATATCTACCGATGTCTACATACAAAACAGGAGAATGATAGCCCGATTGCGCTCTTAATAAAATTACTATGCTAGAGTACAGCATAAACAGCTTATAGAGCACGTAGCCAAGAAAAAAAAAGTGAGATTTTTTTATTATATTGCCATTGGGACACGAGTTAGTTAAGTAAACTAATAGTAAGTTGTCCTTGGCGATGTCCTTAGCTGGCGAAAGGAGAAATCTGGAGCGGTCGAAGCAACCGAGTTTTGAGATATTAGGAATATTAGGATAACTAACTGCAAACAATTACAAAAGAAGTTTATGATACTAAGATTACATTATTAAATTTAACGCAATTTATTTGTAAATATATTTATATTGGTTAGTGCGTACTAGAGAGGGCTCGCCGCGGTTAAGAGCGACGGGACTTGTTTCAGAGGTCCCGGGCTCGATACCCACTTCGAGCAGCCTGTTGTCAGGTAGCAGTGACAACGATTTTCACTTGGAAATATAGATTGCAATATGTTTCCAAGTGAAAATAGCCCTTGCACGGCATTGCTGCACCAATAAAATGTCAGCTCTAATAGATTAATTCTAATAACCAAAAAAATCATCAAATATGGATGAATTA